TACAGCGTTGGTGGCATCCTATAATTGTAAGAAAATGTAATAATCAATCTTTCATCATATAATGTGACCTTAGGTCAATTAAAGAAAATACGAATACACTTATGTTTATCTCTTAGTTTGACTTATATCTACAATTATTCCGAAACAATTGGATTTTGTAGTCATGTAAATATACCTCTTTAAGGGCCTGAAGTACATAATAGAATTGATGCTGCTGATGCCCGGAAGAATAAGGGGATGCAGCAATTGGAGAGGGCTGATTAGATGAAGCGGCTGATCGAAAGAGATATTCCATCAATGCTGGCAAGAGGCTGCAACCACTAGAACTGACCCCACTTCCGCTAGAAATGAGGCGGCCCAATGCAGTTGCAGCTATTGGTTTTAAGTCGTCAGGTTCCCCTGGAGTGTGCCCCGATTGTGCTGTACAACTTATTGAAGAAGTAGGAGCACCAGCCATATTAGCAATGGGCACGCAAGAGTTGTCCGCATAGGTTGGTGCTGGGCGCGTGATGCAGGTAACCAGAAGATTAAATAAGTCAGTTCGGTGTGTAAGATCACTAGTAGTTCGGCAAAAATAATAAAATATAAGTTGAAAAAATGCATTCCAATGCTCTCAGGAAGGAAAGGTACGGCATTTTATTAAATCATAAGTAAGGAATCACATTTCAAGGGCATATTTAAAATAAATTAATATTCTATCATGAGGACAGTTACCCAACGGTGAAAGATCGCCTTATAAGTTTCTAAAATTTAACATAGTTAATGCTAGGAGAGTAGAGAGCAAACTTATTTAACAATGTACATGGAATATGATAACAAGCAAAAGGTTTGAAAATTAGTTTTGGCTTAAAAATGAGAATAAAAATTAACAACTGAGACAGACTAAACGAAATTCTCTTATGATGACAATTGTCTGATACTTATAAATATATAAACATATACATGCAACTCAAATTTATTTTTACTAATATGTACCGATTTAATATGGTATTACAGAATGGAT